CTTCCACAGACTGAACACTCGCAGCGTTGTCCCTGTGATATAGCTCGTCGCTGGGGAGACTTAGAGAGACCGTCACCACCGCGGAGTAAGTCGGTGAATTTGATGACACTGAACATTTTACTGCAAGAAATCATGGTCATTTTTATCAAAAGATCAACCACGTTTTATGTCAAAATTGTTGAAGGTGGTAATACTACACTCGTTCTCCATTGTGACCGCACCAAGTGCACGAGTTCAGCAACTTCGCCCAGCCCTCACTGTCTGTCTCCCAGCTCCGTAGGTCGCTGGTCCCTGGGTGTCAGAGGCTGGAGTCAGGGTGGCCCTGCTGGGCTCCTGCGGAGAAGCCGGCAGACTCTGCCCACGGCTGTCCATGTGCTCCTATGACTCAGCTCTCTGTGGCAGGAGGACTGAGGTCTCCGGTCACTTGCTGGCTGCCAGTGAGGGACTCAGCTTCTACTCAGCCCACCCCATCTTTGCAAGGGCTCTTCCTTTTTGAGTCAAACCATGCATCAAACCCTTTATGTGCTGGGCATCGCGCTGACCCCTCTGCCCCTCGCTCTTCACAAGACGCCCTGCAGGAGCCCGGCTGGCAGGAGAGCCATGTTCTGAGAACTGAGACTGAGGCCGTGGGGGCACCGACACCTGGAGACAGAGGGGGGGCGATTCCCTTCTCTGCCCACCCGCTCTCCCTCCACCCCTGCCCTCCCTCTCTCCCCTCTTCCTTCCCTTCTTTCTTCTTCCTTTCTAATTGCCACAGGCAGTGGGCACTCTCCAAGGAGACAGGGAGAGCAAGCCCTCCTAGTGGGGCATGTTCACAGTGTCTCCAGCTGGCCGAGATTGGGGGCACGCATGCACACACACACATGGGACTGGGGGCACACGTGCACACACACACACGGGGGCATGCGCGCACACGCACACACACACACGGGACTGGGGGCACACGTGCACACACACACACGGGACTGGGGCCACACGTGCACACACACACACGGGACTGGGGGCACACGTGCACACAAGGTATGGGGGGCATGCGTGCACACACACGCTTATTTATTTTCTTCCCAAACCACCGGGGTGGGGCTGTACCCGTGCCTGCCATGTGGGATTCTCTCCGCAGCCGCCGGGCTCTGGGCCCACCCACTGTGCCCTCTGGCCAGTGGTGACCAGCTGCCCCCCCCCAGGCTTTCCCGTCATTGTCATTGGTTGCTCTCGAGGGCATCCCTCAATTTTCCAGACTCTTCGCTGGAGCAATTTATACGTGTGTTTAGAATAGTTAATGACCCCTCCTCTGTCCCAGGCTCTGATTCTGCACTACTGAACAACAGTGGCTGTGTGCCTACAGAGTGATGTGTGTGTGTGGTGGGGTAGACACGCAGCAAACCAGACATCAGCGTGGCTCGGGTCCAGATGTCGGAGGGCCGAGAGGTGACGTGAAAGGTGCTTCCACAGAGGCTGGGAGGGTGTGCAGCGTAGGCGGTCCGAAGGTCTGGGAAAGCCTGCGAAGACATGCATGCAGTCAGAAAGTCCTTGGGGCTGTCACCACCCACCGTAGATGTCAGTGCAGAGGCGGGAGGTCTGGAAGCCTGAGTCTTGAACCCAGAGGACCCAAGGAACAGGATGGGCTGTGGTAGGTGAACGTGAGGAAAGGGACCAAGGCCTCTGCTCAGTCACGGAGGTCTCTCCCTCCAGGGGTTTCATGCTACTTTACTTTAGAGACCATTTAAATAGTTTAAAATCAGATGAAGTTTGAGCATATTTGTCTAATTGCACAATACGGAAAAATCAATGTGAAAATGAGCATATCTGAGTTTCAGCTACCTCTTCACCTCTGTGAAATCTCAAAAGTAATTTCGAGGAAGACCACCAGGATGACTGTAACGCCACAAAGGAGAGGACTCTCTTCCGTCCAGCCATGGTACATTCCAAATGCCTTTGGGTTGGAAAAATGAAGTTGATGAGAGCCTTTTCTGTAAATTACCTGTAAAGGCGGAACATACACCCCCTCTCTGCCATGGTGAATAAAATGCCTAAAACACCACTGCTGCGGGGGCTGGCCAGATACAACCTCAAAGTCAAAGCGAGAAGCGAAAGTAACTTGTAACTGGGAGAGAGACAGAGAATGAGAGGCCCTGAGGGGTCGTCGTGTTCCGATGGACCCCCGGTCCTGGCTGATCACAGGTGCACCGAGGACTGGGCGTGCTCAGGGGGGACCGGACATGCCCCGGGCAGTACCATGCCACCAGCTGGCCCAGCGTCCTTGGCAGTTAGGACTAAGAAGCTCTGCACACAATCTTTAAAATGAGCAAACATTTCCCTTTAATTAACGCCAAGAAGAATTGCATTTCGTTTAGAATTGATTTATAGTTCATCAGTCACATTTTCCAGAAGACACTCATTTTGATGAAAAGGTAAAAAAGTTAACCTGGGATCGGTTCCCTTGGTCCGCTCTGCACTCCATGTCAGAACCCAGCTGTTCTGCAGCCAAGGGCGCCTCCCACTCGGCCCGTGTCCTCCCTGCGCACCTGACAGTTACCCCTTCCGGCTGCTACCTGCCACTCACCCGCTTTCTGGCAGATTCTGCTTGTCAGGCTCAGGCTAATTTTACCCCGCTGGGGAGTGACTCACTGGGCTTTTATTTAACAGGCTTCATACGCTGAGTACAGTCCCAGTGTGGCTTGTGCGAAGCCTGGCACGGAAGCAGACTCATGTTAAATCTGTACCCTGTTGCAAAGCCGTGGTTATTTCTAGAATTTTAAAGGTTGCCATTTTCAGACTCT